AAAAAAAGCTAAAAAAAAATAATTAAATTAATTAATTAATTAAAACATTTATTTTAATTAATTAAATTAAACTTATTCAAATACTAACTATTATTAAAGAATTCAAAAAAAAATTAAAATTAAATATATTTACTTACCAGCAGCTGCCAATTAATTTTTGACATAGTAATACTCTTATTTATCAAAAAAAACTATAAAAAAAAAATAAAATTAAAAAAAAAATAATTAAATAATTAAAATATTAAATTAAACCTACTTACTATAGATGTCACTAATAATAAATTTTAAAAGGAATCTAAAAGTTAAATTAAATAAAATAAATTAAATAAAAAAAAATTTAAAATTAAATTAAATTCATTCACTTACCGCAGCTGCCAATTTTGGTGTAATAATAATTTTATTTATCAAAAAAAACTATAAAAAAAATAAATAAAAAATAAATAAAATAAATAAAAAAAATTAAAATTATTCAATTGAAAATATTTATTTTCTTTAACAAATATAAAAAAATCATAAAGTTATTTTTAAAATAAAACTCATCTCACTAAATATCATATATATTTTAAATATTTTTTTAAAGAATGTTATATATTAATCATAGTAAATAATATTTATATAAATATCAATCAGTTGATTGATAAAATTTTATATATTTTTTGCTATTTTTTTGACTTTATATTTAATATAATTATACTATATTGCTAATTTTTTTTGAATTTATTTCATATAAAACCTTTTTGTAAATTTTAAAAATTAAATAGTTCAATAGCTTTAAAATGATCTCATCAAACATATTATCTATTATATGTTTATTATAATATGTAAAAGTATTAAGTATTATAAATAATTTTAATATGAAAAATATATTATATCTAAAGTTATTAGATAAAACTTAAAAGTTTTACAAGTTGTTTAAATGGTAAAAAATAAAATTTAGCAAAATTATATTAAAATTTTATTAAAGAATCAGTAAAATTCAAAATGTAAAACTATATTAAAGCTTATAAAAATGTAAAATTATATTAAAAACTTAATAAAAATTAGTAAAACTAAAGTTTAAATATTTTACTAAACTCAAAAAGAATTTAAATAAGCAATTTTAATTGTATCATTAGTTTTAAAAAACTTTTTTTTATTAATTAAAAATATAATACTAAAATAAAAATTTTTATTAGAGTTATTTCATATTTATTATAATAAAAAATTAATGAAATATAAAACTCTAAACAATTCAGATTAATCTAAAGATTTTTCAGTTTAAATCAGTTTAAATCAGTTTCAGATTACATAACAATCAATCTGAAAATTTTTGATTAATTTAAAAGTTCAGTTCAATTATATATAAAATTCTTAGAAGATTATAAAAATTTTTGATTTTCTAAATTCACAAAAATATGATAAAATTTTTAAAGAATTGCAATAAATTTGTGAATTTTTAAGAGATTTGTCAAAATATAGCAAAACTCTTTAGAGAATCACAATTTTTTTTGTGATTTTTTTTTGAATTTTGTAAAAAATTTTGGAAAATTGCAAAAAATTACAAATATTTAAGAGATTTGCAAAAATATTATGAGACTCTTAAAGAATTGTGATTTTTTGAAAAAATCTTAAAGAATTGTAAAAAGTTGTAAATTTTTTAAAAGATTTGTAAAAATATTGTAAAATTCTTAAATATTGTAATTTCTCTTCGAATTTTGATACTTTAAGAGTTTCACATATAAATTGCAAATTCTTTTTGAAATTCACATATAATTAAACTAAAATTTCAGATTAATCCAAAATTCTAGTTCAAATTTGCAGTTCAGTTCAGATTTTTAAGATTAATAATCCAAATTGAACTGAATTAAAATTTCAGTTTAAATTAAGATTAGCTTTTAATCCAGACTGAACTGAACTATTCAGAACTTTAATTAAATATAATAGTATATTTAAATCTTTTATTAATAGATAGTACTATTAAATATATCAAATTTTTTTGTAAAATGATTATATTTTCAAATTAAAATTACCTATTTTAGTTTTCTAATAATTATTTTCTTCCTTTCTAGTTTATAATTCAAAGCAAAAAGAACTTTATGTTATTCTCCCTATAATATATTAATTTTAATTAATAAAAATATATTCATTACTACTATTTCTTATTATTTAATAATTGTTCTTAAACTTTTACATATTTTTTATGTTTTTATTATATTGTCTATTTAACTAAAATGGAGTCTCTCAAAGAAAAAGATAAATTACTTACTATAATAAGTTGTTATTTCTGTCAAGTTATATTTAAATTCAAAGCATTTATTAAGAGAAAAATTTTTATAATTTAAATTCTTTTTTTTTAAAAAAAATAATTAATTTTTTGTATTTACATAAAATCCAACAGACCAACACTCTCTAAAATCTTCTTCATACCATAAAATTACATATATTTTTGTCTCTACTTGTAAGATCTTGAAAAAACTTATTTTTAAAGCGAAGTTTCGCGTAAATGTAAAAAAAAAAAAGAATTGATTGAGCACATGATGATCTATTGTAACATTTTGCGATAGTTAACTATCATTTCGAATGTATGGTTAAATCGAAATCTCGACAAAGTGCGATATTTCTGAAAAATGTATTAAAGGGATTCTTTTTTTTTTCCCCTCAATATATCGAATTTCTTATTCCTTTATAAAATTTTAAATAGTGGCATTGATCGTGGATGATTTCATCTGGGTAAGAATTTTCACCGCACTTGTTGTACTTGTTGTAGTGTGCACCGTCAAGTATTACTATTCATGGTATACACGGGAGAATCCAATTCCTGGACCATTTCCTTTACCTTTAATAGGAAATTTACACCAGTTGGGACTGGATATGGGGAAAGGAGCGCTCAAATTACAAAAGGAGTTTGGGGACATGTTTGAAATATATATTTAGGACCGACAATTTTTAAGTAGAGCGGAACTTACGGAGAAATTTATAATCCAACGTTAAAGAATAATGAATTCTCCCTTCTCATACTTTTTTAACCCAGGATTGGAGGAACTTCATCTAACAGATTCCGGTATTTCATTTAATAGGGATTTGGACGCTTGGAAATTCAATAGGCGCATCTTAAGCCACGCAGTGATGTCACCAAAATTCTTTTGAGAGAGAGTGGAATTCACCAATAAAATTGCGATGAGTTGGAAAAGTATTGGTCTACGATTAATCCCAATAATAAAGTTGATTTTGCAAGGTGGACTTCTTGTCTCACCGCTGATATTATCGTGACCACTTCAACAGGAACCAAGGTTTACTCCATAGCCGATTATAATAATAGCCTACCCAATTCGATTAAAGTCAAGATTATCGAAAACATTCTCGAGGAATCTTTAAAATTTATTGAATCCATATATATGTTTATCTCATGCATTATGTTCTATTTCTCCTTTCCTACTTTAGTTAGAAAGTTCGTTCCTGTAATTAAAACGATGTACCATAAGTATCGTGACAACAATATATGGGAAGCGGTCAGTAGAAAAGGGGGAAATCCACTTTTTAGTCAAAAATTTTTTTATTGGTTCACTCTGCTGATCATGGTCATGTGAACAAAACTAGCTTAATAACTAAAATTAATCAAAATTTGTTGATTTCCCCCTTTTCTATTGACCGCCCCCCATATGGTTAGATGCCGAATTAGATAGGATTATCTGTAACAGAAAACGAGAAATCAAAAGTGCCCTTCTTGATCAACCTATAGAGAACAACGTATTAGATTTATTAATCGCTTTAAATACTGAAATGGATACCCCTAAGATCACTGGTATCGATAATAAGAGACCGTTGACTAACATAGAAATTTCCAGCGCGTTAAGGGAAATCTTTTCTGGAATGGACACGGTAAGTAACTTTAAAAAAAAAAAATTGTTATAAATGAAGTAAAATTTCTCATTGATTTGATCAACTTTTGCTCATTCCTTAGACCCGAAACGTAATGTGTTATCACATGTTTTACATTAATAAATATCCCCAAGTTAAAGATAAATTGATTCAAGAATACGAATCGATCTACGGGGATCTAAACAAGAAATTAGATGTTACCTACGAATCACTTGATAAATTAGTTTATACCGAAGCCGTGAAGTCACACGTCTCATACCGCAAATACCCACATTCATGCGTGCTGCCACTTTTGATACCGAAATTGGTGGTTACAAGAACAAGAAAGAAACGACCGTGTTTACGAATTTTACCGGCATTCATCATCATAAAGATGATTGGGTTGAACCCGAAAAGTTCAATCCTGATAAATTTTTAAAAAATGGTGATCATACGATCGTTAAGAATTCTAATTTGACTTTTCGAGAGGGTATTCGAATTTGTCCGGGAAGGCATTGGGCCATGGAAAATATGAAAATTTTAGTCAGAATTTTAACCAAATTCGAAATTAACCTAGCGCTCCGTTAAAATTATCATATCATGGAATTCAGCATTGTGTTGAATTATATATTTATATTAATCAAAAATCGAATGCTTAGATCTTATATTTTTTTATTAATCAAACAATATTAATTACAACACTAATTTGTTATATTGATTTATCTTTTTCTTTCTAATAAATTTTTCAATTGCATTTACCAATTCATATGCCCACTTGTATCCTCTTGTTGAAGAATAAATGTTTAATAAAAAAAAACTACACTCCCGACTGCATACTTGATAAATCAGGTATTATATTTCTCTGTTAATTGTTATCATAAATATGAAGTAGCAAAGGAAATCCGCCCAATGGATTTACCTTTCGCAGTATATCAGAATATAGGGCCAACAAGAAAAAAGCCCAATTGCAATATTACTATATAATAATACTATTTTATTTTATGAAGTTAATAAATTTTATTTTAACGCTAATTGAATAAAATAATCTTTAATAGCGGTTGTTTCAATGGAGGAATTTTTCAGCTCATATTTGTTGATGGTTTCGGGCGTTAATAGAGGAAATTAATCGGGGGGGGGGGGGTAAAGGATCTTGCAATTAACTCTAGGTAAAATCCGGACCTTTTTTGCGGGCTCATAACCCAACTAAAGAAAATTCGCGCATGATCTGTGACTGAGCACAAGATAAAATTTAGAAATATATAGCCGTTTATGATTAATTAAGTTTTAGTTTAAAAAGCTTGAAGGATCGAGGAAAAAAAAAATCCTCACCTACTGTACATTCTCGCATGGTCCTCTAGTAATCAGTTGCCAAAATATTGGATGATTTTCTTAGTGATAGAGAAGGTTATATTTTATATGTTTATTTGGTTGAAAACTCAAAAACATGGATTTATTACGTAGCAGTTTTTCTTTTCTTTTCTTTCTTGTATATTTGTATTGTTTCGCTCGTATTTCGATATTTCTGAGTAGTTTTTTTTTATTAAAAATTTAGTATATATCATTTTTTTATATCCTTTTAAAATTTCGTAGTAAGATGTGAAGAGACGGAACTTTTTGGGTAGATAGAAAACCGGTACGGTACGATTCGCCAGACCAGTACGGTACGATTATGCAGATCAGTATTTTTTCGCGA